CTTGTCATCCACACAGTCCGGCACTCAGTGCATGGACAGACATCAGTTGGGTGATGAGTTCCTTGGGACGTGTTTTCACGAAGCAGTACCCAATCTCCCGTGCATTTGTCGGAAATCCTGGTGCATCCGCGACTGCCCTGAGGCCTGGCTGTTGAGGTGGTGCAGACCTGTCGAGATACGGGGGACCGGATGCATGTCAAGGAGCCTTCCAGTTTGGCATCTTCGACCGTTGGAGCTTCTCCTGGTAAGCTGAGCTCAGAATTTCTACTTGATTTCCTCCCATGCATTGTGAGAGTGAGACTGTCCTCTTGAGCATAGCATGCCTTGTCCGGAACATTGACATGAACAACACTAGCAGCAGTAGCATGCAATAGCTTCTCCAGCGCCACAGTAAGAGCAGAATTGTGGCAATGCTGATCGGTTTATCGAAGACAGCAGCAACAGCAACTAGCAATGACAGCTGTCTGTTGGATTTCAGAGCAGATAGTCCGCTCGAACAAGCTTGGTTTGACGCACAGGCTTTCGATGTGACAGGCGCTAATCAACACATTGGCTTCATCGCAGAAAAGGGAAACGGAGTGCTCTCCAAGCTCCACGGCACGATGAAGTTGTCCCGCGGGGCGTCTGCAGGAGCCGTTGCCTCTGACCCCTGACTTTGACTTCCACGGTACCACCGTCCGGGTCGACATTCAGCAATCGGATCAGGCCGGCCGGTTTCATGGTGTCGACAGCTCTGCGTGATGTCCGTTTTTTTTGGGCCGATGCCATCAAAGCCAAACTCTAGCCCCCGAGGAGTCCCAGGCTTCCACAAATCTGTGCATTGTCGGGAAGTGTCTTTGGTCCTCAGGTCATTCTGGGCTTCGGTGGCGCTTTCACCGAAGCGAGCGCCCTGGTCTTCCAAGGCCTGGGTCTCCTTTCCAGCTGCGCACCCGGCGATAAGCACCTGGTCACTAGGTAGGATAATCTAGGGGCTTATCATTATTTACCTATACTATTTCGGTGGCTCGTTCTTATAATAATCAAGGGCCTCATAGTATCGTAATAGCGTTAGAGTCTCCGGTGGCCCTGGGGTTTTGCTTGAGGCTGGAGGCTGAGGCGTTCGATTTCTGGAAAAGCGCGTGGTTTCTGTAGCGGAGAGGCCTGCACCCGGACCTGCAGAAGGAGGTCCTCGAGTTGTACTTTGGAGACCTAGGTATCGGCTATTCCCTCGGTCGTGTGCACATCAACAGCTGCGATTTCTCCATGGGCAACTACAGCTTCGATGATGTTCCGGAGGATCATGACCTGGTACACTTTGATCACAGCGTCGCCCGCGATTCCAAAGCTGTGATCCCCATGATACGGGGCGCTCAAAAGCTGGTGCGAGGCTCTGGCGGCAAGTTGCGGCTAATGGCTTCACCATGGAGCCCTCCTGCATGGATGAAGATGAACGGGGCGATGAATGGATCGCATTCACCAGGTCTCCGGGAGGATTGCCGCGACGCATGGGCAAGATACTTTGCTAGCTGGATTGATGCTTACAAGCAGCATGGAGTTCAAATTTGGGCCGTAAGCGTGCAGAACGAGCCAGAGCACAACGCGCCTTGGGAGGCCTGCTGCTACACAGCGGCGGAGGAGGCAGCGTTTATCGCTGGCCATCTCGGTCCAACCTTGCAGGCTTTGCATCCAGAAGTCGGGATCTTTGCTTTCGACCACAACAAGGCAGGGTACGGAGCGGGACTATCCTTCCCGGCCCCGGCTACCCCACGTAAGCTCCCTACAGGACCATGTGCACGACTGGGCCTGCCAGCTCTTCAGAGACCAGGCCGCCGTCCCCTTCGTGCGGGGCATCGCGTTCCACTGGTATGCAGGGGACCACTTCGAGAAAGTGCGGCGCACTCACGAGGATCTCGGCTAAGTCCAACACACATGCGCCGTGCTCTTTGATTGTAGGATTTGCAAGGCATTGCTACTAGTAGAAGGACGGGTCAGTGCTTATGCCGATTCAACCCAGGACTTCCCCTCAGCTGTGCTCCTTCCCTCAGAAGCCTGCTACGAGCGGCACCGGTGGAAGTCAGGGACCAGCCTACTGCCCTTTGCCGGGAGAATTCTATATTTGATGTTCATTCAAGTGTAGAGAGAGAGAGAGAGAGAGAGAGAGAGAGAGAGAGAGAGAGAGAGAGAGAGAGAGAGAGAGAGAGAGAGAGAGAGAGAGAGAGAGAGAGAGAGAAAGAGAAAGAGAGAGAGAGAGAGAGAGCTTGGACAACATCTTCGGTGCGCGTTCACGAGAGCGCGGGCAGGGGGGGGGGTGCTGTGGGCTTTCCTTGTCCGCATGCAAGCAAGAGAGAGAAAGACAGATAGAGAGAGAGAGAGAGAGAGTAGGTTTTGTCATCTAATATTGTCGCACTTATCGCTGAACATTTGGTAAACATGCAGTCTAGAAAATGCCGGGGGAAACACCTTCGCAATGTTTTCACACCCCTCCAAAAGCCCCACAAACATCGGGGGGGCCTTTAAGGCCGAGGGGTTTCGCACTCCCCTCATGCCCCGGGGAAGAAGAGAGAGAGAACAAAAAGGACCAAGTTCCGCCCGCACCCCCCCATGCAGGCAGGGAGATTGGAGTTTTGGAGAAGGTTACGCGCACAACATCATGGGCGACTTGAATGCCGGAGGCGGGCGGCGCAGAATAAGTTCAACGCTTATTTTGTCGTCAGATCTGCATGTATCGCTTGTCCAAGGCGCCGGATGGATCGACTGGAATCTACTGCTGAATGAGGACGGGGGCCCGAACCATGTGGGGAATGTGTGTGATGCGCCTGTCATTGCGAGCCTGAGACTTGGCGCAAAAGGAATGATCCTCTGCATCTCTCTATGCATCGTTTGAAAAACTTTGTTCCAGCGGTTGCAGCGACTTGACACCTTGCAAGAGCTTTTTGGACTTAGGACCGAGCAGCAGATCCACTTGCATCCGCAGTTCTTCTTCCTGGGTCACTTCGCAAAGTACGTAATACCTGGATCGAAACGTTTCCTGGCCAACTTCGGCTTCAGGTTTAGCACGATCCCAAAGGCAAAAGTAGACGAAACTCCAAGGCCGAGCCGTGGACCTGCAAAGTTCAGTGGCTAAACAAAACTGGACATTTCAGTACGAACCGTAATCTGACTGGGCAGGGTGTACGGAGTATGCAGAAGTTCCCAACCCCCTAGATTCCGTCGCCCGACCATCCCGAAGATTTGTCTCAACGCCAGAGGTTTGCTCACCAGCGTGAGGAACACTCCCCGCTACATGGGAGCGACGCGGAGGTATGGGACCTGCTCGGCCCAGGCAAGGTTCAGGTAAGAACCGCGGGCTTTTGGGTATTTTTGCATAATGTTGGACTTCCAAGGTAAGTTCAGGAAGTGGGCTGTTACCGACCGAAACAGCAGATTCAGCGTTTACTGGAGCTGGCCCGTTTGTTTTGCCCCCGAAGGTCAGAGCAGGTGTAGCTATGGTGCTTGGTATGTTGTCTTTCCAGTGCCTAGTCTTGACCAGTTTTGTGTTTTAAGTCGTTAATGGTTATTGTCGCACGTCTCGTGTCGTTGTCGTTTTGGTCGTCGCTGCCATTGCTGCAATTACAGTACCAACAGCAGCTGCCTGCAGTTCTCTTAGCTGCTTCTTCCTACAGCGAGACTTTTTTGTTGCCTGCAGGATGGGCTTCAGGCAGCCGCCTTTGTCCGGCCAGATGGTACCCAACTCAAGTCTATCCGGACACATGAGAATCAGGAGAACCCCAAGGTCCTACAGGGTTCAGGAGTCGCTGAGGAGTCCCAACGACAATTCGCAGTCCGGTGTCGCAACCACGAAGCTAGACATTGGGGGTTCGCTGGTAAAGGATGGGAAAAGCCGGGCCTCACCTCAATTCAACAAGGTCTCGTGGCGACTGTGGTGCTGAACGCTGCAGACCTGCCAATCAGCTTCAAGCTTCAGATGCCTGCCTGCATGTAGATCATGTAGTTGCCTGGTTCTGTGTTTGCAACTGGTGCATTCCAAGGAGTTGGGGCTCTTGCTTGGAAGTTCGCTGTTGTGGTGGATTTGAGTGTCTTTCGTGATAAAAACGGATATGCCATTGCAAGAAGGCAATCGTCGCGAACAGTGGTAGGTAGCACTCTGCGATACCTCCCGTCCTTTCAATCGGCAGTAGCGTCCGCGAAGCATGGTTTGCGGTTGGACACCTTGAAGCCATTGAAGCCCGTTCCGAGCCCTTCGAACGAAAGTGAAGCGGAGATTTGCCTAGCCTAGCTTGATGCTACTTTAAACCCAAGCCTAAACCTCCGTTGCTTCAGACCTTGCGCTCCTTACGAGTGCTCGTGATGCATCATCTGATTGCACATCTGACCGTCATCTGTTAGCCGTTAGCCAACTCACGGCCTGCAGCCCGACTCTGCCTGACAACGGTTTCTGTACCCGCACAGGTACTTACCTGTAATGGTCTTATGCTGCTTCTACGTACGAATCACAGAACAAGCATGCATACCCTCAATCCACGCAGTTGCAATTGCTGACTGCACTGAGGATGGGTGCTCAGGCTGTGAACGCATCCATACCCCCTCACGCCATTCAGACCTACTTGGCGCCTGGTCTGTGCATGCGGATCCGGGATTTTCAGGGTAGTTATCATTGACGCAGTTCAAGGAGCTGTCGCTTTTGGCACCTTCGGATCTTGACCTTCCGCTTGCTTCTGGCACGATATTGTAAGGAGTTCTGCCTCGAAGGGCCGCGGAGTCGACAGGTATGGACCTGTTGTTGAAATATCACCTGAGGTCGTGCGGAGCACACTATGAGCTGGCTTGCGGACACTGCGTCGCAGCTTGTGTGAAATAGCTTAGAAGTGAGCCGCGCAGCACCTCAGCACCCTGCCCTGGGGGTCGAAAAATGTGTACGTTTAGACTGCTTCTTGCGCGCACCTGCAACTTGAATCTAGCCCTAGGACGGTCAGCGCTTCTCCAAGTGCTCGCAGTCGTAGCACAAACGTTTGTATGGCCAGGGTCTCTTCCCAGACCAAAGATCGCCTGCAGCGCTGGCACAGGGGCAGTGGCCTCAGAGCCAGCAGTGAGGAGGGCTGGGAGAGAAGGGCAGCGAAGGGGTACCGCCAGGGCATGCTCTCTTGCACTTTCCTCCGCGTCGCAGCCTGGTCCTTCTGCCTCGCGCCAGTTTGAACGAGCGTGGCTTTAGAGCCCCAGCAGCTCCGAACTGTGGAGTTGGCGCCTTCAGGTGGTAGTCCCCAAACACAAGCCAGACGCGTTCTTCCCCAAGCTGAGGTTCCGTGGTATGGCAGAGCTGGCAACACAGCTTCGTGGCGCTGGCGACCATGCAAAGGTGCCTGTAATGTGGGCGTTTGTTTCTGATGTGGCTTGCCAAGCATGAAGGAGGATGTATCAAGGCACGCAGGTCGGACAGCACACTCCTTGATGTTCCGTTTAGCTCCTTCTGAGCGAACAAAGTCTCAGTAGGTGGACACGGCATTCTTTGCGTCACGGTTTTGGGCTCGAGATGATGGGCTCAAGGTAAAGCATGGCATGACTGCAAAGGTGAGCAAGGCAGCTAGTTTTAGATGGAGTTAATGACAGGACCCAATGCTCGTCATGTGCGAAGACCGGCGTGCTAGGAAGTCTTCAAGGTCGTAACTCCCACGACAGGAGAGACTCGACTCCGTACGTTTTCATATCCTGAACAATACCATTGTGCTTGTGATGGCGAGCGCTGGCGCTGACGAGATGGATGCTGGCTTCGAAGAGTTGGCCAGGCTGAGCCCGGCCGAGAGGTTCAAGCAGTGGACTTCGAAAGACTCCCGAAGGTGGGAGCAAGATTTCAGTTGTTGGAGTCCAGGAGGGTCAGGGTGATTGTGGTATCTTAGACGTTTATGTTTTGGTAGGATTCAACAAGGGCTCTTGCAGGGTTGGTTTTCTCAGTGCTTCCACGGTTTTTGGGACTGAAGATACGAGCTCCTCGTGCTGCTGGTGGAGTCGTGCTACATGCTGCTCTACATTGCCTACCAGATCTTTCTCCGTAACACGGTAGCATTGGAAGCTAACCACGCATTTCCGAAACCGCTCGCCCCCGTACTAATCTGTGCTATCCGTTCGTGGCGGTTATTTGGATACAGCCCACACTGCCTTCAACGCCGCAGTTCTTGTCGCTGGGTTTTGGGCACTGCGTTCCACAGCTTTGTCCTGACTTGGAGTGGCTTCATGGCTGGACTGTACACAGCCAAGAACTTGAGGCCAGACTTTTCCAGCCGTTGGGTTTCGGGAATGTACATTGGCCCCACGCACTTTGTCTTCTTGCTCACGGTCCTTTGCCTCACGGTCTTGGACCGAGTGCAAACTCTGGTGGCCTCCGTGCTGGCGTTTGCATTCTTCGCCCTCCCTATCACCTATGCCATCATCGATTTCTTTTCGGAGGATCGGGAGCTCACTTACGACGTCGTCGAGATGTTCATAGAACAGTTGACACTGCTCGTTGCAGTTGTAATGCTGTGCGTGGTCAGGTGGTTCTCATGGTCGGACCGAGTCGCCCACTTCCAGCGAGAAGAACGCCTCAAGACCGGCATCATCGACGAGAAGGTAAAGCGGTGTCATGTAGAGTTTGCAGTTCAGCAGCTGAATGATTCCATGGCGCCACAGGAGGATCAGACATCCTACCTTTCCGGTCATAGCTTTGCCGACTGCGCTCAAACCGCAGCAGCAATGGCGCGAAAGTCCCCGCCCTCAGCTTTCAGTGCACCTCCGAACATGGACAGCTTGGCCCTACTGCAGAGCACTTCCCCGCGCTGTGACTGCCTGCCCATGTCTACAACCGTCCAAGTGGACGGTGGAGGGAAACCTGTGTCGGAACTGAAGATTGGAGACCGGGTTGTTTGCTATGACCACCTCGCGGGCTGTATCAAACTCGTGGAGGTCGAGGATTGTGAGGTCGTTTCCGGCCCATGCAGTTGGTCACAGGTGACGCTGGCAGACGGTACTACAATTTCCGTGACAGCAGATCATCCTGTGCGTGCAGTGGGTGAGGATGGTGAGAGAGGTGGTAGAGGAGTCGCTGGGCTTGGTGGCGGGAGAGTCATTCGGGCAGGTGAGTTGAAGCCTGGCCAGGACATGTTGAAGATCCTTCGATTGGGAGCCGTGCCTGTCAAAGCGGTGCACACGGAACCGGACGAGCAGCCACGTGTGCGAGTGAACTTAAGACAGAGCTGGCGTTTTTCACTTTTCTGTTCGCAGGGTTCCGGACCAGAGAGCACATCTGTGGCAGTGGAGTCTTCGAGTGGCTTAGATGGCCGACACGAACAGCTGCTCCAGGTGCAGCACACTTTCCTAAACTTCCCCGAAGAGGCTTCGCAGACGGATGCTGCGCCTGGCCGCCGGGCATGGTCCGATCCAGGAGCCGCAGCGCCACCGGCATCGCCAGCGGCACCGCCGCCGGAGGCCTGGTTCGGGGAGGGGGTGTTGTTGGCAATGCGTCTGCCGCCGCGCGGGGTGCTGCGATTTTTGGGCCGGCATGTGCTGAAGTTCGAGTTTTGGCCCAAACAACGCGACACCTGGCAGGCGACACTGTACAAAACATGCGGAGCTCTCCATTTCGCATCGTTGTTTTTCGGTGCTTTCTAGACCAAAATTCGCAACGGACCCCAACACCGACAAAATAAAAGATGAAATACGTTTCATTTGCGGCACTTTCGCAAAAACCTCACCCAACAACAAGACCAAACTACTATGGAACAAAAACCTCCGAAACCGTGTCTTTTTGACGAAGACCACACACAAATCGAGGTTTTCAATCTTTTGTCAAAACAACGTTCCAAAAATAAACGACACACCCCTTGCGGCGGCAGACACACGCGCTTTCTTGTTAGTTGTTGTGGTTGTGGCAAGATGCAGTTGTGAAGTGGAAGAAGAGGCAGCCGTCCCATCCGAGCATGGCTTCGAGGCTCGCGGCGAGGCTGACCCGAACCTGGTAGTGCATTCCGTGATGGTTATATTGATAGTCATGCAAAGCACAATTAGTTGTATACTTCCTAAGTTCCTAGACTTTGAACCTGGACAGGACTCCTCGGATACAGCTGGCAATGGATGTGACGAACCTCCCTCGGGTTCTACTAGCTCCACTGAAGGCAGCTGGGATTTGGCAGATTTGCAGGAAGACGTGTCTCTTCAGGGTCTCGCAGAACGCACCCGAACCAATGTAGGCAGATACGAATACCTGGCAGTTCCTGCACCGCCTTTGCAAAAACTCGAAGCTTGGCCAAGGCAATCCCGACGCACAACATGCAAAGGGATGCTGCCAGCCATGCTTGTTTCAAACCCGGTATTATGCGGATCCGGAGAGGCCGGGTGAGGTAGGATCGCAATAATCGATTCGATTCTGAAGCCTCCGCTGGCAGCTGTGGCCTGTTTCGCCGGAAGGTACCCAGCATGTACCAAGCCCGAATGCTTTGCTCGCTATTGCCACTTGTCCCACAGCGAAAGCTACTTGGCCACCTACAGATCGATCCTTGGCCTAGCTGCGGCAGCTTTTCGGGCTGGGAGAGCCGCTGAGGGATTTCAGTCTCTTGCAGGTTGGTAGGGATATGGGGACGTCAGGGAGTTCAGGGATGCCGAGGATGAAGAGGCGCTACGAGAAGAAGAATCGAGTGGCACGGCGGAAGGGCTTGTTCGCGCAGGGTGCTGCGGTTGGGGCTGCTGAAGTTGTTCCCATGCAGTCACGGCAGTGCGAGCTCTGACTCCACGCTGGCTCATGTGTGTTCGCGTGGCAATCTGTTAGTCGCACTCAGGATTTTCGTGGTACTTCCCAGAATCCTGGGTATAGGGTGGTTCTCGTGCGGAATTGTAGTTCGATATTTTTAATGTTTCACTCAGGACTCACGATCTCTTAGACAGAGAAAGAAACGAAGGGTCGGAGCCTGTTAGCTTGGTCCCGAAGGCCCTCAAACTTCATGCCTCCATCTCAGCTTCTTTGGTCGTTTGGGGCATCTTCGGGCACGTCGGGACCCTGCATCTGGCCCATTTGTCCCAAGTTTTGAGACGCATCAAACCCGGCTTCTCTTAATAGATGTCGGGGATTGCCAGCGGCCAGCGTGTTTTCCCCAGCTTTTGCCTGAAGGCCGATCCTTAATGCAGGGATCGATCGATGAAGGCTTTGAGAAACGCTGGATACTATCACGCGCGCTTGCGCATGGACAACATGGCTCAACTTGTCTGCATTTCTTGTTGGTAACAACTCCCCACATGTCGTGCGCTGTTTGGAAGTCACATAAGCCGCTGTACTGGGCAGTGTGGTCCCTATTCTACTGTTCTCGTGTATACGTCTGCTCTGACGAGCTTGTCTTTCGGTGCAGGTCGACGAGGTCCTGGCCGGATTCTTTCAGCAATTTCAGAGAGGCCAGGTCATGGCCTGCTGCCTGCGGCGCTTCCATCGATCCCCTCCTGTCCGGATGCTGGAATCATGAATTTCTGGCCTGGCCATGCACCTTTCTGCAGACGGCGCCCGGCTTTGACCCCTAGTTGGAGCAAGTAGTGTCTCTGATAATTAGTCCGGACATCCCAAAACCCAAAAACCACAGAACCATAAAGTCTTAAAAACCTCAAAGGCCAGAACTCCCAAATCCTGGGATCTGCCGGCCAGGGTGGAAGCTGCTGCTAGAAGCCGTCGCCCGGCCCTGAGCAAAGGAGGCGATTGATTCCCTTGGAGAGCATAACCAGTTGCTCTTCTTGGCGTTTAGGGTCTCGGGTTTAGGCTGCAGCTGTCCTGGCGTGACGTTGCAAGCCAGTTGCAAGGGTTTAGGCTGTAGGGTGTAGGGCGTAGGGTTGCTGCTGCTAGCGGCCACTGCATGCGAGGCTTGGAGCAAGGCGCCGGCATACCAGTCCGCTTTGCATGCGCACAGCCGTCTGGTGGCAGTTGCTGCACCCTCAGCAAGTTCCAGGCATGTCTGGTTTCGTTCTTTTTTCCCGAGAGATGCTGATGTTGATGCCATCCCATTCCGAGATAGCGAGACGAGGTTGGTGGCCATCGAGAGGGACTCCAGCCCTTGCATCCTAAGGCGAGGGCAAATCTGCAGAGCCAGGATTTAAAACGTGATATTCTGAGTTCCGGAAAACATCGGGGAAAGCTGCTGTCGTAGCATGGGCTCCTCTGTAAAGCGCGCGCACACACACACACACTGTAGTTCTGCACGAGCTCCGTGGCACACGTCTGTGAGGCCCACCAGAAGAGAGCCCACAAGCAGAAGCCTGAACCCAAGCTTCTATGGATGGGTCGAGAATGTCAGGGCCTTTGATGATCTTTTTCATCCCAGGCAAGAAGAGGCTGCACAAAGGCCTGTGGCTGCTGTTCGAATTATTGGACGTGTTTAGGTTTCGCGATGCAAGGAATAATCCGGCCACAGCTGTTGCACTGTCAAGAAGTAGCCTCTAAGCCTTAGCTTGAAGCCATGGGAAATGCAGGGTGCTGTTCCAGCAGTGATGCGAACACTCAGTTCGAGGCCCTGACTGCGCCCCGAGACATTGTCGGACGAAAGAAGGCGTTGTTGGTTGGCCTCAACTATCGCAACACTCGTGCAGAGCTGCATGGATGCATCAACGACGTGAACAACATGCAGCAAGTACTGGTGAAACAGTACGGTTTCAAACTGGAGGACATCCTCATGCTCAACGAGGACCAGGACAAAAGCCAGTGGCCCTACAAGAAGGTGATCATCGAAGGGTTGCAGTGGCTCTACAAAGACGCAAAGGCTGGGGATCTGCTTTTCTTCCACTACAGCGGTCACGGTTCTCAGTATCAGATCGACAAAAAGGGCATGCCGGCAGACTGCATCTGCCCCCTTGACTGCCTTGATAAAAACTGGCCAGAAGCTGTGATCCTGGATACCGAGATCCACGCAGAGCTTTACGATCCTTTGCCCAAAGGTTGCAAAGCAGTTTGCATCTTTGATTGCTGCCACTCTGCTACGGTGGCCAACCTGTGTGAGACAATGGTGGTCCAGGAGGGGCCTATGACAGCAGCCAGAAAAGAGAAGATGGTGAAAGCATTGACCGATCAGAAGAACAAGGCCGCAGCCACGGTGCGCTTCTACCAGGACATCAACTCTGGCAAGTTGGATCTCAAGAAGAAGAGCAAGGACGAGATGGTGAAGCTTATGGAGAAGCTGGAGTACCCAAAGAGAGGGAACGCTTACGAAGAGGACGAGGCGAGCTATAATTACCTCACCGGCTTGTCCATCTCTCACCTCTTCAATGCCTCTGTCAAAAAGGAAGAGGCGGTTCTGGATCAGAAGATGAAGGCACTGGCACATGTTCTGAGCCTCAAACCCGGTGAAGGTGCGCAAATCTACATCGGAAATCTTGAGCAGGAGGAGCAGGCCGCATATTCGAAGAGCCACTCCAAGGAAATCCGTCTCCGGTACCTCCCACAGCCAGAGATGGATCAGGACGAGGAGTCAATTCCGGCCAAGCCTTTGGGCACTGGCCTCAGAGATGTCCTGCGGAAGGCCAAGTACGAGGACTCGAAGGTAAAACCTCAAGAGACCCTCTAAACAACACAGAGCCTTTCAAGCGTTTTGAAAATCACTTAAACACACCTACCACAACCCCAAGCCATAAAAACCGCCAAAAAGATACGAAAAGCACCAAAACTGCCAGGACCACGAACTGTGGATCTTCTCGGGCTGTCAGGATGACCAAACGAGCGCAGATGCCCACGTGGACGGCATTTATCAGGGAGCTTCCAGGCTGTTAAGTCTGTGAGGGGATTTCCGTTTATCTTTCTCCTTCTCTTTCTCTTTCTCTCTGATGCAAATGGCTACCGTCAAACAGCAGCTCAATTTATGTTCCTTCTGCATCTAAGGCTTTCACTTGGGCTCTCATCAAAGCGCTGAAGTCCGACGGCTTCATTGAGAGCTATAGCCACCTGCTGCTCCAAATCAAGTCGAATTTGGAGAGTGGCAGCTACAAGCAGGTCCCTGCCCTGTCTACCACCCGCAGAAGTTACCTGGACTACGGCTTCCTGGGGAGATGAGTGCAGCATTCCGTCTAGCTTTTCGTTCTGAGGATTTTGTTTCTGCCCGGCAAATCTTTCATAAGTGACCCCGAATGGGGTGCCGAGCGGGTTGAACGCACAACGCGTTTGGAGATATTCGCCCCTCCCTGCAAATGAAAGATGATTCTCGAGCACGATGTAGGGGGAGCTTAGGCCGGGAGTACACAAGCCAAAACTGAGTTAGGTGTTTTTTTTGCGGGCGGGGGGGGGGGGGGCCTGAAGGTACGGCAGTGCATTGCGAGGATACTCAACACGGTTTGTGACTCGGGCATGCGCGTAATTGCCATGGAGGCCAGGCTTAGACGAAGCGGCTGCTGCCACCTTGCGTGATGAGACGAGGCAGGATCAGTGACTTGCCCGGAATTCGGCAATGAATACGGTGCTCTAAAAGGCGCTACCAACGCTTAGCCGCTTAGCTGCCTGGTCAGGCTGACAATTTTGGAAGCCTTGCAGTCCCGCCAGGAGAACCTGCAAACGCGTCAAGAGAGATGCTGAAACAGTAGGGCGCAGGAGTAATATAGCCATGCGGTGCACATTGGAAGCTGTGCCCTTGTTTGTCAAACTTGCGTTGGGCGAAAGCCATGGCACCAGGAGTTCCAGAAGGTGCCGGGGAATCTCCAGAGGCAGTGGCAACAGGTGCGGTCAGCCGTAGTCGGAGAAAGCCGTCAAAGTCAATTCAGGTGGGGCTTCCTTTGTGACCCGCTTCAGGCACTTTTGGCCCCACTGTCGCCGTCGGCTTCTGAGCTTCCTGCGGCCTTGCACCTGTGAGCGTTGCAGTCTTACCGAAAAGCTTGAGGAAGGACTCACAAGCAGATGGTCTCCCTGCGACATCGCAAGCTGTAGATTAACACGCAACCCGCCTCGGCTCCTCAAGCGTTCGTTTCAAGTCTGAGGCCGGGTGTTCGATCTCGCTGCGGCTCTCTCGTCGCGAGTATTGCAAAGGCCGCGGGAGCATGGTCATCTGCAAACGCCTGCAGTATTTTACTTGAGATCTCGTGTTAGCGTTGGAGCAAACATGCTCCCTCAACATCCTCACTGTACGCGGTGAGAGCGACAAGGAAGGGCCAGAAGAGTCTTACTACTTTGCCAGACTTCGCGACTGCTCACCATCAGAGCCTTTCCTAGATTCACGCGCAACGAAGCCAGTACTTGGTGGCCACATTGCGGTATCCAGGAAACCCCAGCCGACCCTGCCTGGCGCAGTTTAAACTAGTATTACATATTATAGCATATGCTATTGCATATTATGGTATTATGCATTAGTATCTGCTCTTGCGTGCGCAGGGCAAAGGACCTGCGACTCGCGTGGCAGCGGCTGGGGACTGAGGGCGGGAGACGTCATGAAGGGCCACGGCGGCTAATATAGGGGCCGTACTCAGTACCTATAGTATTTTGGGGGCTAGTATAATGGGCCCAAAACCCTATTCTAATTAGTAAGGCCCCTATTGTTATTGCGATTGTGATTGAAGTTGTCATCGTTATTATTATTATTATTATTATTATTATTATTATTATTATTATTATTATTATTGTTGTTGCTGTTGTTGTTGTTGTTGTTGTTGTTGTTGTTGTTGTTGTTGTTGTTGTTGTTGTTGTTGTTGTTGTTGTTGTTGTTGTTGTTGTTGTTGTTGTTGTTGGTTGTTGGTTGTTGGTTGTTGGTTGTTGGTTGTTGTTGTTGTTGTTGTTTTTGTAGCCGCTATGGATCACAGCAGGCTGTATAGCATTGCTAACAGGGCTCCGGGTACCAACGCTAGAGGCTCGCAACGGCCCCCTTCTGCGAAGCTTAAGGGACTGTCCTCTTTCTGAGCCATAGCCATCCCTGGAGCCACGTGTCGCTGTGATCTACCGGGTCCCAATTCCCGGGCCTCTGTCTGCAGTTATACAACATTGGCAAGAGGTAAGCGGTAGTGGTTTTCACCTATCCGCGAGGTGAAGGGAGTCGGATCGAGTTCTCTCCTTCCGGCGAAACTAGCGGACGGCGCCAACGCCCATGCACCAGCATTCCTTTGAGAGCATTCGCAAGAAGGCCTTTCGAAAGGCTTGCAATAGGGTACACAGAACACAGGAAAGCATCCAGTATAGAAACGGCGTGCTGACGCCTGAGCATCTGCGTCGCAGTGGACTTACCCCCACCCTCCCCTCCCCTCCTTCCCGTACAGCCTAGTTCCACGGATCCTTCGGCTCCCTCAGGCCGCACAGACAGCTTCCGCTCACGTCCGCGAGGTGGACGAGACAGTAAGTCGCTCCGTGTCCTCTCATGGAACGCTGGGCACCTTGGCATCCAGCAATGGGCAGAAGTGAAGACATGGCTACGAACCGAGGCCCAGTATGTCTGTGATATTTTAGTCCTGCAGGAGACGCACTGGAGCGAAACAGCAGAGTTTGACGTTGAGGGTTGGCACTGCATAAGCTCTGCCACCAAGGGAGCTGCCAGGGCACCCAAAGCCAAATCAACTTCAGGGCAACGCTCAGCGCGAAGTGCTGCATCGCAGCCGGCGCTACATGACACTGGTCGTGCAGATGGGGTTATGGTCCTCCTCTCCCCCTTGATAGACAAGAAAAAGATTAGATGGCGTGAACAGCGCCGGGGCCGACTCATTCAAGTCACTTTTCCGTGGCTGGGAGCTCGAACTCATGTCTTTGCGGTCTATCAACATGCGTGGTCTTCTAAGAAGACTCCTCAACAAAACAAGGAAGATCGCTCGCGCCTGCTGCGTGACCTGTCCTCATCCATCAGAGCTGTTCCGGCGAGGGACACATTTCTGCTGGCAGGTGACTTCAACGCACGCTTGACCCCGCAAGAGGGTCTGGTAGGTCGGTGCAGCACTAAGCCAGAGCACTCTCAAATGCAGGATGAGCAGTTCCAGGCCTTGGTTTCCTCTCACAGACTGGTAGCGCTCAACACTTGGTCCTGCGGCACTGGACACACTTTTTTCCTGAACGGAAAGGGCTCACAGATTGATTTCTTGCTGACTTCTGAGGCCTCAGCGAAAGGTATAGCTGATGGAGAATGCTCTGAATTTCGTCGTCGTGTGCCAAAAAGGCGCGGGTGAGCTCTTGCACCGAGAGAGCGCGGATCGTGCCGCGCCCGCCTTGAGGTGGTGCCGCGGCGGCCTTCGCCGCAGCCTCGAGGTCAGCACGTGCTCGTTTTTCCGGCTTGGCCGGGGGCGAAGAGTTGCCGGCCATGAACGAGGAGCTACGTCAGCTGTACAACTTGAGCAGCAAAACTTAACAACAGCGTTCCTGCTCCCTACCGTGTAGGCAGGTCGGTCCCACAGAGCCAGTAGGTCACCCCCTTCCTGCAAGGGGGAAGTAGGGGCCCCTGGCCGCAGGGGAACCCTCAGCTTACGCCTCTATAACTGGGACTGGCATAGGGCCAGCCTCCGCTGTGTGCGGTGATGAACCAAGTCGCACTAACAGCATATAACAGCCTTGTCGTGCCTGCCTAAGATCAGAATCTGAGGCCGGAGCAGTCGGACGACCGTCGTCCGTACTGGACCATGGTTGATCGGGTTGGCTCCTCCAGAGGGAGCGATAGTGTCCGCTGTGCGGGGTGTCTCCGATGTGGAATACACATGACTGCACCCAACCCTGGACTGTGTGAACAGAGCCATCAGGGGCCCACTGGGGAAGCGCAATGAAACGGCCTAGGCCCGTGACTGCGTAGCTGAGCTTTCGACCGTCTGCAAATCGGGCTACAGATAGGACGATCAGCTTTTGCTGTCCCCTAAAAGCAGCTCGCACCGGTTGCCCGGACCATTGGCTTACCAGGTCTTGAAGGTCCTGGGAGCCGGCAGTCAGCGGAGCCGGCAACAAAAACCTGTTCCACGTGCTCGCGGAGCAAACGGAGCTCTGAGTGTGAGTCCAGAAGCAAGCCATCCGGGCCCTGGAGCTGTGCCTTGGTCTGTGGTGCCCATGGCCTGAGTTTTTTGAGGGTTTTGTGAGCGATGTACGAGTCATGGCGGGCGCATGCTTCATCAACTTCTGCCTGAAATGCACGATGGCGTTCCTTCTTCGCCAGGTAAAGAGCCTGTTTGTGCCATCGGCTCAGGTCCTCCAGGGACTGATCTAGGTCGGCTAGTGTGGTGACAGAGTCCTCATGTAGGGAGCGAATGTGTGCTACTCTGTTCCACATGCGCAAGGTTGCGCGGTGTTGCGCGGTCTCCGGCACTTGCTGAGGTCTGGGTTTCGGAAAAAACATAGCAGAGGCCTCGAGCAGCACTTGGTTGACCTCGTCGGGCGTGTGGTACCTGGAAGAGAGGCGCTGGCGCACCCAAGCCTGCATACGGTCAGCAATAGGCAGGCCAGAGCGAACTGCTGTTTCCAGGGCCTCCTTATTGTAGGTCAGGGAGGGGCTGGAAGGTTTGGGCAAATTCCAGTGCTGGGTGGGGCGGAACTGAGCGAATACAGGTATATGACCTCCACGTTTCCACTGTCCAAGTTGCAGGTCCTGTCGGGGCCCAGCGCGCTTGGCCATAAGCTCCCGGTGGAGGGACCGCTGGCCACGACGGCTCTGGACGCCATTCAGGGATGGTTGAAGGATCACAAGCCAGGCCAACCACACCCCTCTGGCTCTCCCACAGCTGCGGTTGCTGCTGCAGTGCTTCCATTCCTGAAGGACTCAACGAAGCCTGAGACTGTCACACAACCAGCCTGGGAAGCCTTCAAGGCTGCTCTGGCTCTCATCCTCGATGATCCGGACAAGAACAACGCGATCAATCACGAGCTTGCTTTGTTTTCGGCTCGGGCCAATGCGAAAAAGACCCACCTCATCTTGGAGATCCGCCTGAAGATGCACAGCACGTTGCTCGCTCACATCTCTACGTACAGCAAACTCATTGAGGACTTTGAAGGCGAGGCACTGGGCAAACGCCCCCAGGGCACTCTGGCTCGAAAAGCCCGTGGACTCCCAACGACCAGCTGAACTTGAGGCATTGAGGCAACGCCCCAAAGGCGAGGCAACGCCTCCAGGTTCCCGGCTTTAGATTCGCAGCCTCTTGCACCCCAAAGCTGAGAGCTGCGCGAGGGACTTGCTTTCCATCTATCAAGAGATTCACCCATGCCGCTCCTTCGCTCACACGCGTTAAAGAGAACAAAACGGGCACACAGCTTGGCCGTGTAGTCTCTAGTTCTGCCTACTAGTTGTCACTGCCTCCCCTTTGCCTGCTTCTCCTTCCACTTTCCAGCCAACCATTGCTTGTTTTAGCCGTTGAGATCCGATCAGAGTTCCAATCTGGACTTCTCAGCTCACATAGCTACGCCATGTCGGAGGCTCAGCATGGCATCTCCCAGGAACAGCTCTACGAGCATCTCCTGTGGGCGGCCCGTCAGGAACTCGATGGTCCGACTCATTCTCCGTCAGAGAACAAGGTGGACAAAGCGACGTCTGGCGGCACATCCTCAATGTCATCTACGTCTACCAAGCAGAACCTGGCCATCGGCAAGCGCCAATGGGCGACTGAAGCATCATCCTCTTCTACTACAACATCGCCGCCTCCCAAGCCCCCTACGCCTCCTGCATCCAAGCGGCAGATGATGTGGAAACCCAAACTGCCCAAGGCGTCCTGAGTCGTGTGGCATCGCCAACGACTTAATCGGCGAACTTCGCACCGCGAAACTAGTGCATGAAGTACTCGGCTGAAGAACGGGTCAAATGAAGACCCTTTGCCAGCGCCTCAAATAAGCGTCTCTAGCTGCTTCCGCTAGGATCTCAGGTGTCTGGCAGCAATCGACTTGCATCGATCAGCAAAGTTTTTTGGCCCGAGCCAGCGATTCTCTAACCATCTTTTGCAGACGCTGTTCCCTGCGCGGACATGTCGCAGTCCTCGACCTCGCTCTCGGCTGAGGCTGGTAAGGCTCTGGAGAACCTGCAGGAACATGGTTCCTCACCTCTTGTTCTCCCGGGGCATTACGTCAACCCCTCCATTCAGGTCATGTCCCTGATCACCTCCGAGCTGGGTCAGCAAATCAGCTCGGGCTACACCTGCCAGGTGTATCTTCCAGCCCAGCCCTGCTACTCTCCCTTCTCAGAGGTGCAACGCATCGATGTGACGCGTGGCCCCGCCACCTTCCCGCCCCTCTTGGAAGATCGAGAGCACTATGTGATTCGGACTGCCAAAGCAGGCTTCGGCGCGGAGGTTAATCGAGAAATTATCAGGGCGGCTCGCATGCCTGAGGTGGTGGTTCTCCAGACCATTTTGGCCTGGGATCCACAGCACCTCCGAGTGCTCATGCCTCGTCACTACCCTGTCCCGGTCTCTGCACTGACCACTCGTCATGTCTTTCGCCTCATGCAAGACATGCGCAGGGCGATC